GTGCAAAATTTTTTAAAATATGTCTCTGAAGAGATTTTAATGACAATGAAAATATTTACAAATTGGATACAAAATGACAAACAATTCAAAAATTTTATAAACCATGTGGTTACAGGTATAAATAAACAGAGGTCAGTCAGAGGGCCTTCCTGGTCCTTAATTTTTAGCTAAGATATAGTCAAACACAGGCGTCCCCAGTGGCTCAGCAGTAAAGAATCTGTCTGCAATGCAGGAGATGCAGGTTTGATCCCTGGGTTGGGAAGATCCCCTGGGAGAGGGCATGGCAACCCATTCCAGTATTCTTGTCTGGGAAATCCCATGGACAGAGGAGACTGGTGGGCTACAGGCTCAAAGAGTAGGAAATGACTGAACATACACAGTCAGACACCCATCACTCAGGTATAGACACTCCCATGCTCTTCCTGAGAAGGATTTCTGGGGGTGTGAATGGTCTCTCTGTGAGCTCCCACTTCCCTGGTGTTATCTGAATTCTGGAAGAGCTTTTTATCATTCTTCAAACACTATCTCGGAACCATGTCATGCAAATCTAGTTGTGGAGCTCAGCCATTTCCTTAATTTCAATGAAAATTCACTCATCTAAGGCCTTGGCATAGCACACAGAGGGATTTATATTCACTCAAACATACCAAAAAAAAAAAAAAAAAAAAGAATTCCTCTCCGCCTGTCTTTCTCTTCTTCCCTTTTTCTTCTCTGCTTCCATCCTCAAGAGGAAAAACAGATTCTTCCTGTGGACTTAAACAAGCAGTTCATCTCTCTCCAGTCCCTACTTGCAAATCCTGCTCTCCCTTAACATGTCCAAGACTTCTGTCAAATCTTTAAAGTCCCCTGCTGCACTTGTGAGGGCCCCAGATTATACTCACTCTGGGAAACACGGCTCTTTTACTCCCAGGTCTTATCTGGTGAGTAGGAGAGAGGGAATGGGTGTGTGCGGGTGGTTTTTTCCAGTAACACAGGGTTAAGATAAGAGCATATGAAAAGCTCCTAGCACTGTGATAGCCTTCAAATAGCCCCAAAAGGGGCCTCCTCCCGGTCTTCTGAGTTTCCCAGCTTCATCAGACTGCAGATCACTGAGGCCAGCTGTGCAGATAACTTCCTTGTTACTGGTTTTGGTGCAATTTCACCCATCTATTTCAAGTTAGGACTTTTGACCTCACTTTTTCACCAAATCATCTCAATCAATGCTTTTCTAAAGTTTATCAAAGTCTTTATTTTAAAATTTCAGTATTAACATTCTGTTGATCTCTGACAGTCCCAAGAAAGTTATGCTTTTGACCTTTATGGTTTATTTATCCCCTTTTAAAAGTGGTAAGGATCTGGGCTTGTTTTTGTTTGTTCAGTTGCTCAGTCGTGTCTGACTCTTTGTGACCCCATAGACTGCACCATGCCAGGCTTCCCTGTCCTTCACCATCTCCTGGAGTTTGCTCAAACTCATGTCCATTGAGTTGGTGATGCCACCTTATCCTGTCATCCCCTCTCCTCCTGCCCTGAATCTTTCCCAGCATCAGGGTCTTTTATAAAGTGTTGGCTCATCACATCAGGTAGCCAAAGTATTGGAGCTTCAGCTTCAACATCAGTCCTTCCAATGAATATTCAGGGTTGATTTCCTTTAGGATTGACTGGCTTGATCTTGCTGTCCAAGGGACCCTCAAGAATCTTCTCCAGCACCACATTTTGAAAGCGTCAATTCTTTGGCACTCAGCTTTCTTTCTTTCAGGCTGGAGACAGCCATATTTACACTGGGGCTCAGACATGTCAGGGCTGGTCTAGAGACAGGCCAGTAGAGAGACCTGTCAAGAACCTATTTGTCTGAGGAACCCAGGAACAACAAAGGAAAGACTCTTTCTAAAAGAGAAAGAAACTGGTAGATACAAGCTGCCACAGATGACCTGTGTGGGAAGGAGTGGTTTTAAGTAACAGCTGGTGAATGCCTCTTAGATTGTTCCTCACCCAGCACCCTATGGATGTGACTAAGTCCAAAGATGGGGTGGGGTGGTGGAGGGCTGAAGTAGGCAGAGTCACAGAAAATTTCTGTGAGATATTGGGGTACATAAAGATCACTGTGGGGACAAGTGGAAAGGAGTGTGAATAAAGAATACTCCTCAATCTGCAGAGCCAGTAGGACGAGTGGACAGGACCAGCCTAAGAATGCTTCCTGCTTCAGCAGCGGGATTCTTGTCCTAGGAAGCAACAGCCCAGTGAGGTGGCCTAGCAGACGTACACAGTGACTTTAATGGGCAATGGTGGTGTTTTGGTGAAAGATTCAGAGGGTGGCAGGAGCGGTGGCCTCCGTGCTGCTGACTCAGTGTTGACATCACTGACTTCCAGTAGGAGGCAGTGCATCAGGTCATATATTAACACTCTACGTGGTGGGCACTGTAAGATGGCAGTGGAGAGCTCAGCACCAGACAAAGGCATCAGATCAGAGGAGGAGAAAGCTGCTGGGGAATCTAAGAGATGTGTGAGATTTTGTAGCCAGGAAGACTTACTAGTGAGTTCCCCTTAGGTGCCCCTGAAGACTCTGGAATGTTTGAGGGGAACACTGAAAAACAGCTGAATTTCCAGGAATTTCTCTGATAAGGACACAAGTCACACCAAGCTATATGAAATGAATGAACACATTTAACTCTCATAACTAAGAGGTAGGCAATATTAGCTACATTTATCAATGAGGAAGGATGGAGCTAAGGAGAATAACTTACAATGGGTCACATAGCTTGTGATATCTGAACCCAAGCCTACTTGATTCTAAAGTCAGGGCTCTCCCAGTTCACCACAGTGTCTCCAAAGAGGATTAGAATTTAGTCAACAAATTCACTCAACAAACATTTACTGAATGTCTGTTATATGCCAGGCCCTGCTCTAGATGCTCAACATATGGCAGTGAACAAAATAAGCAAAATCTCGGCTCATATTAGGTTTAAAATCTGGATGTAATTGAAATGATGGCCCTAATGTTGCTTCCAGGCTTGTCTGACCTTGGACACATGGGTTACATAAGCAAACCTGAATAAGTCTGAGGCTTGAGATAACTTGGATTCCTAATACATCCATTACTCAGCCATGCTCAGGGCCAGCTGCCAAGGTCTCCCCCACCACTTGTCTGTACATAATCTGCTCCATTACATTGATTTAGAAGAAAAATATAGTTCACTTAACTTCTGTTCTACAAAGAATGAGAAGAACTCATGCTGGAGAGCAGTTAAGGACAGGGGAGCCAGAATGCCTCACCCAAGGACAGAAATAGAGGACACAATGCTTTTGACGATTGCTGATGCCTATGCAAGAATGTGTTGCATTTAGAAATAGCATCTACCCATACAATTTATACATAATTAAGTTCTCATCCATATCCCTAAGAACAGATGGTATGCCAAGATAGGCAGGTCAAGAACATTGTAAATATATTTATACAACTGATGCTACAGCAATATTGGCAAGGGGATCTGGTGAAAGTCAAGCTTAACGTTATTGTTGGAAGCTTTCTATACCCCAGTGTGAGACGTTCAGGATACATAAGGCCATGATTTGACTCCCATTTTAACTGAATCATTGAAAAGGTAGTATAGCATAATGGTTAAGAGTGTGAACTTTGGAGAAAAACTACTTGAGTTGGAATCTCTATTGTGCTACTTACTAGCTCTGGAATCTTGAGTAAGTGATTTAACTTCTCTTTCCTTCACATCTCTCATCTTTAAAATAAAGATAATACTTAAAAAGCTACCTCATTTTTTATTGCTAATCCAATAATAATAGGATTATTATAAAGATTAGCAAATATAACTGCTAGCTATTATCAATAGGGTAAAATTCTTTGCATCAAAGTCATGATGCATATAATGCACTGTGTTTACTAAATCCTATGTTACTTTTCCTCTTTCAGGGCACAAAGGAAGATGATATGTCTCATAGTTCCTTTCACTTATGGTTGGATTTTAGCCAACTGCATGTTGGTAGAAGTAATATAAGCCACCTACAGACTTGAGTCTTAGATCTCTTTCACCTGGAAGCCATATGATAAGATAGCAACATTCCAAGACAGTGAATCTCAGCCTAGGTCAGCCTAGGTCCCTGGGAGATTATATGGAATATAGCTCACCCCACCCCACCATTACCTTTGTTGGATATGTGGCATGAACAAGAAATAAATATTTACTGTATCAAGACACTGAAATTGAGGTTCATTGTTACCACAGCATAACCTCGCCTATCCTGATGGATTTATAAAACTCTGTTGACCAGTAGCTGGTGCTTCTTCCCAGCATGATGGGCATTCATATTACAGAAGGACCTGAGGTTTTAAGTGCCTAAGTGCTAGGTTATCCGCTCAAGTTCTAGGATGTGACTGTTTCTTCATTTAAGTCCTTTAACTTTCTTCCTTCCTTTCTTTCTTTATGCTGTGCCACATGGCTTGCAGGATCTTAGTTCCCCAACCAGGGATAGAACCCATGTCCCATGCAGTAGAAGTGCTGAGTCTAATAACTGGACTGCCAGGGAAGTACCAAGTCCTTTAACTTCTTTAGAGCCATGGGTTCTTTTTATACTACTGAAAGCAATCCATATTTTAAAAGAAATGGTGAAACATTTTCCCTTTCTTCTCAAGCTAGATCTCAGCAAAAAATGTTTTCCCCACTGTTTTATTTATTCATTTTGCTATATCCTGACTCATCAAGCTTCATTCTCTCTTAACAGACATCCAGTTCAATGTCTAGCCTCTATGAAATATAAAGTCTGCTTAAAACATTAATGTTTCCCTTTTCTAGAATTTTTCGCACTTATAACTAACATTGGCATTTAATAATAGGAGGCCTCATTTGGGGGACTTTAGTCTTTTGCTCCAGTGAGATTAAGGGCAGATACCTTCTTTTAGATCCCCAAAGGGCCTAATGCAGCATTAGGCCTCGAGTAGACAGCCCATACGGTAAGCACTTACTGAATTAAATTTCTAGCCAATATATCTAAGCTCAGGCTTACCACATTACCTTTCTTCCTGGAACAGGTCTGTGGGTAAAGAGTGATGGCTGGAAATACTGCCACACTTTGACCTTTTCTTCATACTCACTGGGAGGGTAGATATGTATGTTGTAGGCAAGCAAGCTGGGAAGGGGTGAGAGACACAACATTTATTTCTACTTCCTTAAATATTGGTTAGTAAATATAGTTAAGTTCTCATCATGAGCTTGGTATACGTCCTGCTTCTACAAGTAAGCCATAGCATTCTCTGAGGCCAGGGACCACATTTTCAATAGATGTTAACAATTCTTTTATTTCAAATAAGATCTAGTGATATGACCTTGTATTTGTGTAATTATTTAAAATAATTTTATACTTTTAATTATGAAATTAAATGACACAGTTTAAGGTACTTTATAATTTATTGTCTCATCTTCTCTTGGCAGTAACCAGGGTTCCAAATACTTCATTCAGAACTTACTCTGAGAACTACCAAGTTCAGAAAGAGGTTTGAAAATGGCCCTTAGGATTTTTTTTTAATTTCTATGTACTCAGCAATCATTTCCCTCACTTGAAAGTTAGTCCTGGGTTCAATTCAGTGCCCATCGCTAAAAGTCAGCATGGTATAAGTACTGCTAATCTTGGCTGGAGTTGTTTACAAGAGAAGAGGCAGTTTCCTGTTTCCTTAGCCACAGGGGCTAGGCAAATGCAGACCTGTTTACCCTCTTAAACTACTTCGGGACAAGCAGAAAATGATCACGGACTGAGAACCCCTTACCCAGAGTATCACTTGAGACCCTAGACACCAGAATTCAAAGGTTAACACTTTAAGCCAGTTGGTCTGGGGCCCCAGCCCTAGAACTAAACCGATTGCCAGGCTTACCAGGAAGCCATCAAGTGTGGCTGGGAGGTGGGGTCAGTGGAAGCTCAGAAGTAACTCAGCTTTCCTGGGCTCAGAAAGGCAGAACCAAACTGGTCTTGGGGGAGAAGAGAAAGGAAGGGAGACGTGTCCTTAGTAGAGCCCTCCCTTTCCTTGAGTTCTGTGAGGAAGCCCTACCTTTTCCAATCAGTCCTTCCCCTCCCTCTGCCTCAATGGAAGAGACTTCTTAGAACCTTCTTGTTTTGCCTGAGCCCCAGGGGGTTCCCAAGCTGGACTTTTAACTTTTAACCCAGGAAGGTGCTTGGTACACTGGGACTAGTTGGTCACTCTGGGCTTTCTCTAGGTCTCTGAGTCCAGGCATGGTCTCTCTCTCCACAGTCTTAGGGATTTAACTGACACTACAGCTTCCACCAGTCTTTAAGGCTTAATTCCACACTAAATCTCCACCTCTGGCCTCTCCAGAGTGCCAGACCACCAGCACATCAACCACCAGCTGGGCAGTACCGTCTGCTCATCTAAACTTAAATCCCATGAGCTCTGAGCTGACTCCCCACCTCCCTCCTTCACTCCACTAACCCTCTCCTCACTCCCCTCCCAGTGTTTCTGTTTCTGTCAGTGCCCCATCACTGTCCCAGCTCAAGATTTCTTGATTCATATTTACTGAGTACCTACTTTGTGCCAGATTCTGTTCTAGGTCCTAGGGACTCGGCGATGAACAAAACTCACTGCCTTTGTGAAGCATGCACTCTAGCCAAGAAAAGCAAAAAAGAGGGAGAGGGATAAATTGGACATTTGGGATTAACATATACACATTACTATATATAGAATAGATAACTAATAAGAACCTACTACTACTACTAACCAACCTAGACAGCATATTAAAAAGCAGAGACATTACTTTACCAACAAAGGTCTATCTAGTCAAAGCTATGGTTTTTCCAGTGGTCATGTATAGATGTGAGAATTGGACGATAAAGAAAGCTGAGTACCAAAGAACTGATGCTTTTGAAATGTGGTGTTGGAGAAGACTCTTGAGAGTCCCTTGAACTGCAAGGAGACCCAACCAGTTCATCCTAAAGGAAATCAGTCCTGAATATTCATTGGAAGGACTGATGCTGAAGCTGAAACTCCAATACTTTGGCCACCTGATGCGAAGAACCGACTCATTGGAAAAGACCCTGATGCTGGGAAAGATTGAAGGCGAGGGAAGGGGACAACAGAGAATGAGATGGTTGGATGGCATCACTGATACGATGCACATGAGTTTGAGTAGGCTCTAGGAGTTGGTGATGGACAGGGAAGCCTGGCGAGCTGCCGTCCATGGGGTTGCAAAGAGTTGGACACAACTGAGCGACTGAGCTGAACTGCCTACTGTTATAACAAAGGGAACCTGCTGTTATAACAAAGGGAACTCTAGTCACTATTCTGTAAAGGACTTTATGGGAAAAGAATCTAACAAAAAGAGGGGATATATGTATATGTATATTTGATTCACTTTGCTGTATACCTGAAACTAACATAATATTGTAAATCAACTATACTCCCATAAAAATTTAAATTAAAAAAGAAAAGATATATATACACACACACACATATATATATGTGTATATATATATATATATATATATATATATATATATATATTTAGAGAGACAGAGTAAATGGGGCTGAGTACCACAGAGAAAATTCACACAGATATAAGGAGTGCTAGGATGCATGTGTGCCAAGCCTCTTCAGTCATGTTAGACTCTGAGACCCTGTGGACCATAGCCCACTAGGCTCCTCTGTCCATGGGATTCTCCAGGCAACAATCCTAGCATGGGTTTCCATGCCCTCCTCCAGAGGATATTCTGGACCCAGGAATTGAATCCACATCTCTTATGTCTCCTGAAATGACAGGCGGGTTCTTTACCATTAGCACCACGTGGGACACCAGGTTGAAGGGTAAGCTCAGGGAAGCCTTTCTGATGGACTTCCATCTGTGAAGAGGCCCTGAAGAGAGTGAAGAAATGGACCAAGAGCTCTCTGGGGTGAGAGTGTCCTGAGCAAAGGGCACAGTGAGCACAAAGGCTAATGCAGCTGGGCAGACAGACAAGAGAAGGAGTGCTACAGGATAAGTCAGGGACAAATCATGGGTGGCGGGGGAGCAAGGTCCCACAGAGCCTTGTAGATGAAAACATTTTATTCTGACTCTGCTACCCTCTAACTTACTGCCAAACCATGATAATCCCCCTCCACAGGGCCTCTGTTTTCCATTTCTGCCGCTACCACCTGGTGAAGATCCTTATCACTTCTTATTTGAATCATACTGGCCTCCTGAGTAGACTTTTTGCTTCTTGCCTCTCCCCACTCTAATCCTACTCATGACTGCTATAATCTTCTTGGAGCGCAGATCCGATTGTCATCAGCATAAGATCATTAGCATACATTTATGTAGCTCTGGATAAAAGTATACTCAGAAAGGAGGGGGATGGACCTAGGGGATATGTTCCTGCATCTTTCCAGCATGTCCTTGTCAGAAAGAGAGAGAACCGTCAAAAGTATGTTGTCAAACATGTCAGAGTTCTGTTTTTATGCCACAATGTAAAAATTGCAAAATTTTCACCAAAATGAAAAGTAAATAGAAAGAGGAATTAGTCAGAACCCCTTTGGCTGCCATTAACAAAAACCCAGTTCAAGCTGTTTTTTTCAAAGGTAATAAGTTAGCTGGCACAAATTAAAACCTGACAGCCTCAGGAATGGCTAGTTTCAGGTGTTCAGCAAGGGTAGAAAGAACTCTGTGTGTCTCCACCTCCCAGATCTGCCTTCTCCCTCTATTGTTTTTATTCTCAGGCAGACTCTGCCCATGCAGTGGCAAAGGTGCCACCACTGGCTTTGGCTTACGTCTTCTCAGCTTAGCATCTCTAGTGGGAAAAGAGTGCCTCTTTCAGCAACAGTCCGAGTGCTGATCCTCACTGACGCTCCCTGCACAAAGGACTTACTCCTCAACCAAACACTGTGACTGCGGTTGGCCAAGTCTGGGTCATACAACCGTTCTGGAAGCAGAATAGGGGTGAGGTCATCCCCACCTGAACAAAATGGAAAGAGTGGAAGATGGATGGTTCCCAAAGGACCATCTGGTATCAAGGAAGGGAGAAGGAATGGTCTATAGGCAAAAACAAATTTCCACAAAGGCTAGGAGCACCGTTGTTGGCGAACCCTACCCTCAAACACCTCTGAGTAATCAATAGCTCTCCACCCTCAAATACTAGTATTTGAACCCAGGGCTCTCTGATCCTCAAGTGCTGTTGCAAGCCCACACATCATCCGGTTTCTCTGAAGGGGAGGGAAATGACTTTACACATAAGGCCACCCACAGCTCTCACAGCTCTGGAAACTCCCCAGCGACCATGACTGCCTCCCAGGAGGCAGTGAGTGCTCAGTCACTAAGTTGTGTCCAACTCTTTACCTCTGTAGCCTGCCAGGCTCCTCTGTCCATGCGATTTCCCAGGCAAGAATACTAGAGTGGGTTACCATTTCCTTCTCCAGGGGATCTTCCCAACCCAGGGATTGAACCCATTATCTCCTGCATTGGCAGGCAGATTCTTTACCACTGAGGCATCAGAGAAGCACCCCACCCCCTACCCCCAGCAGGTAAGTGGCCACATTTCACCTCATTCTACTCTTTTAGTGAGTGTAAGTCACTCAGTCATGTCTGACTCTTTGCAACCCCATGGACTACACAGTCCATGGAATTCTCCAGGCCAGAATACGGAAGTGGGTAGCCGTTCCCTCCTCCAGGGGATCTTCCCAACCCAGGGATCGAGTCCAGGTCTCCTGCATTGCAGGCAGATTCTTTACCGGCTGAGCCACCAGGATATCCCTCTACTCCTTTCAGGGGCACAAATTGAGCAGAGCCAAGATTAGTGGCTTGACCACAATACACTCGGAAAGGCAGAGGAAGGAGTGGTGCTCAGGCCCCCTGCCACACTCTCATCTCAAAGATCTCTCTGCCAAACAGATACCACCCACCCACCTCCGAAACCTGTAAGTTGTGGTTAGAACAGCGTCCGTGTAAAAATAGCAATGCCCCTCTTGCTCCACACCGCTCCACTGCTCTGTCCAAAGACTGTCTGCTGTCCCGGTTCACCCAGTGCCTGGGCTGGTTCTACCCGCCTCTGGTTGATGCCCTGGCCTGATCTGAGCCCTGGTCAGGCTCCTGGGCACCTGGAAAGCAGAGCCTACTGCCCCTCAGAACTCGGGTGGGGAGCCGAGTTTGCAGCCCACTAAGGCCCAGGGGGCCAACTTATTAGCCCCTCAGCAGAGAACGTTCAGTGGCTGAGTGGCCTCCAACTCAGAGGCCCCTGCCCCTACCACACTTCAACTGACACTTCTTGGACTTCCAGCCAAGCTTGCGAGGAGTCCTGACTAAACAAGGGTGGGCCTTGCAAGGACTAGGTGGACTTGAAAGTCAGTCTCAGCAGAGGCATCAGGGAAGCGTAGGCACCAGGGAAGCATGTGCACCACAGAGGCCTAGAGCACCCTGAGCAGGTGGCCAAGTCAAGCAACAGGTGCAGAATATGGGTGCAGGTGTGGTGTGGTGTGTGCTTAAGGGGAGTGGGCTGGTCTGATGTTGACAGAGCACAAGTCTTCTGCAAACAGTCAGCCGGAAGCTAATGGGCTGGGCTCTCCAAGGGATGGGCAAGGCAGCATGGCCCTAATGAATCCAGCTCTAAACACACCGCTTGAGCTTAAGGATTAGTGGAGGAGCGCAGAGCTGGGTAGGCCTGCTCCCGTGTCTTGGGAGTGTCTGTCTAGTAAAAGATTTGTCTGCTTGAGCTGAACTGAGCTCTAACTTGTCTGCTGTTTAAAACCCTTTAGTCCATCGTCTCAAATTTCTGTTGTGATGGGACAAGATCCGAGGAAGAGAAATAAACTGACCTGAAAAGTTCCTTTAGGATTGACTGGTTTAATCTCCTTGCAGTCCAAGGGACTCCAGAAGATAGGCAGTCCAGGGCTAGTGTGGCAGCTCCTTGAAGTGTTTAGGGTCCCAGGCTGCTAACTCTCCGCTCTACCAGGTGTGAACGTGGTCCTCATTCTCGAGGCCAAGATGGATAATGGAGACTCTGCTCTCTTATCAGCATTCCAGGTAGGAGAATGGAAAAGAGGTGAAGAAGGGAAGACCTCTCTGTATTGGTTTGCTAGGGCTGCTATAACAAAGTACCACAACCTGAGTGCCTTAAGCCACAGAAATATATTTATTGACTCATAATTCTGGAAACTGGAAGCTGGAAATCCAGGTGTCAGCAGGGTTGGTTCCTTCTGAAAGCTATAAAGAAAAACCTATTCCATGTTCTCCCTCCTTTCTGCTGGAAATTTGCTGGCAATCTTTATTGTTCTTTACCTTTAGAAGCATCACTGCATTCTCTACCTTGATCTTCACATGGCATTCTCCCTGTGTGTGTGTCTGTGTTAAAATTTTCCTTTTTTATAAGGACATCACTCATATTGTATTACAATTCAGCCTAGTGAACTCATCTTAATAAATATACTTGCAAGGACCCTATTTCCAAATAAGGTCATATCCTGAGATTTTGGGGCTTCCCTCGTGGCTCAGATAGTAAAAAAAAAAAAAAAAAAAAAAAATCTGCCTGCAATGCAGGAAACCTGGGTTTGATGCCCAGGTAAAGAAGATCCCCTGTAGAAGGAAATGGCAACCCACTCCAGTATTCTTGCCTGGAGAATTCCTTGGACAGAGGAGCCTGGC